GCTTGAACAGGTACGAGTCGAAAAATCGATCGCACTGCTCAACTGCGCCAGTTTTCAATCTAAAGATAGCGCCGGAGGGCGAAAAACTAGCTGCGCGACCGCGCAAGTTCGCGCTAATTACTCGACATTATATTGTGTGGCCGCTGCGATCGATTAATCGAAAATAGAGAGACGCTTATAAATCACGCTCTCGTTAGTTCGGCTTGGATAAACAATAAAATATTTATATACGGCTTATTTATGTGCATATAGGCTCGCGCGAAAAATGTGTATATAGCATCGATAAGATTCGATCTCGTCGATAAGGCCGCGCGCAGCGATATATGCCGCGCTCGTATACACAGGCGAGAAACAAGATTGCGTCTCGACATATAGGTGTAGCACTCTACACACGTATTTTGCGCGCGCGCAGGTATACAAGAAAAAATCGAGCGCATTAAGATTCGAATTGGCGATCCGCGTCACGATCGCGCGAGTCGTTTATTAAAAGCTCATTAGGCCATTGATTTATACACGGCGGCCGTGGCGGCGAATTACATCGGCGTTGGAGGCGTGCGCGCGGGGCGAGCTTCGGGCCAAGAGGCAGGCGAAATAGAGGCTTTTGCAGCGCGGCGAAGCGCAACTATATCTGTGCGCGATCTCTACGACGCGCGCTGTTCTACTAGACTATTTTTTCCGTCTTTCCGGTTTTGTATTTCGCGCGGTAGAGCGCGAACTTGACTGCTCTATACACACACGTAGCCGGCACGCAGACGCGCATAAACAGAGCAGAGAGTTAAAGGCAGAGAGGTACCTAGGCTGTATACACGATTGCGACGACGCGGAAACAAGTTCCGAGACCTGTTTTTGTCAATGTTTTATAGGAGGTGTGTTGTGTGTTCGAACGCGCGAGGAATTCATACTGATAGCTCGCGCGACGCTAGAAACAACAAAATATATTAATAAGGACTGTACTAACACCATTACTCCAAGTCTTTGAAAATAGTTTTTAGGTATATATAGCCTACGAACATTTTTTTGTCACTTGCGGATTTATAGTACTCCATCTGTTGATGGGATCAAAAAGCTCATGTATGTACAAGGTGCTCGTGAGATGTTTGCCAGCAGTCTCGCTCGTGTTGACTAGATTGGGATTGTTTACGTGCGGGTCGACGAAAGCCGTTCCACTCAAAAGTAAATATCGGCGAAAAAAAGCCATTTCGCAAAACGATGAATGGCTGAACGATTGGCTCGATCGCCGATAACACGCGTGCGATGATTTTTTCGACGTCGTCTAACTCGAAGAAAGCGTAAAACACAATGAGCTCGTGTGCTCGCGATCGTAGTCTAATTCGCGATTATATACATTAGCATGACAATGAAGCGGGCCCGAAATCTCATCGTTGCGTCGAAAATTGCGCCACAATACGTGGCGTATATAAATACGAGCAACTCGTTGAGCTATTGTTGTAAACGAGCTCGCAGCGAATAAGTTGCGAGGGAAAAAGTGCGCGGCGCAGCTCGAATCGTTCGATCGCCGCATGGGACCTGCTGCGTGCTGCGATGAATTAAAAAAAAAAGGGCAGCGCTCGCATCACTGTGCACTGCCACGCACAATCGGCTGTTTCCTCCTCGACGTCTGAGCGTCATCCTTTCATTTTCCTCTCTTGAACTCGAGCTTGACTCTCTCTCTCTGGTCGACTCCCGATCAGTCTCGAGTATTGTATGATATATAATGAGACTAATGCGCGTCGAATCAATAATTTCCTCGTTAAGGTAGCCGAGGCAGCTCCTCTCGACCGTCGTATTATATGGCATTCAGCTGTTTTATTATATCGTTCATTAGCTCTAATTCGCTCTCTCTCTCTCGCAAGCTTGGCTATTGTTATATTATAGTCGGTACGTGTACGCGCGAGACATACCTGAACGCCTCGACAGCGACAATGTGTGTGTGTGTATGTGTGTGTGCAGCGGCCAGCACCTCCTATATCGATACGTATATATTGTATGCACATTACATTGTCATTCACACGTGCGAACTTTCCAATGCAAATCCGACCTAGCCTCTTTCGCGCCTCGCATATGAGCCGCGCTCGATTCGACGAGTGGAGCTCGCGGCCCGCATCGATGCCTATTATGTACAATGTTATTATCGAAAAGAGACACGATCCCTCCGCGAGTGTCTTATACCGTGTGCGAATGAATAAACGCCGCGGCGGCCCGACTACGCGCGCTAAATATCAATCGGCTCTCTCACTTATACTTACGCCTACTTCGAGTCGAGCGATGTTACATACACGAGCTTATATGCATATGAGCGCACGCGCGGCAAAACCTGTAATCCGGGCGAAAATATCAGAGCCGATGGATTCGATCATCGCTAATCGCTCTAACCTCGATATTGCAGCTGCATTACCGCACATATACACATTAGAGCGCCGTGTACGAGCTACTTTTAGACGTGATGTACCGGCGGCGTTATGCAGTCATTGCTTCGATTACGCCGCTTCTATGTACCTCTTATATTATGTATCTCGACGTGTACGTATGCAATATTAATGCATTTGCTCGATTGAGATGCTGCCGACTCGATTAATGAGTTGATTATTTTCCCACCCGCGCAAATAATAATTCCATATAATTGACCGTTCAAAAGGATTGCTACATCGAGCTCAAGTGTCGCATCCACGTGTATATCTGGTTTGTTTCGAGTTGCTTCGATCAATGCACTTGAAAGAGACTCTCCTGATCGCGCGCCTCACACGTTCGGGCGCGAGTAATTGCGCGCCGTATAGTCTCGGAGAGCGTGGCAAATTCGAAATAGCTCGCAGTCGCTCGCTCGCAACCGATCTAAAATTATATCAAAGTCGCAAGCTTCGTACGCGTACATAGCGCACTATACACGTTAAACAAACAACAAAAGAATAGTCTAGGCTCGCGCTTGCGGCGTCTATTTCCGTTTGCGCGCACTGGTCAATTATCCGTATACGCGCGCCGCTGGAGTGTGCATCGAGCAAAAAGGAAAAGACGCAGTGGCAGTGAGTCGAGTAAAGTATACGCGCGTATCTTTATCTTATAGGCGAATCGAACGACGCGTTGTAGCGAGAGAGAGAGAGAGAGAGTCGCAATTGTCGCGCGTTCGATATCTGCGTCGGGAAAGTGTATCGAGCGAGATGTAAAAAATCGAATTAGCATAACGCACCTTCTGCCCCCACCGATATCCATCTGATCCTCTCCGACAATTCCACGACCGCTTGGCAATGAGCGCAGAATATACATACGTACGTACATACGCGTCTTATAAATATTTTCTTCTCATTGATACACCCAACCGAGAGAGCTGCAATAGCTGCGCTGCGTGGGCTGAAAAAGCCGCTCTTGCATTTCTTCTCTCTCTCTCTCTCTCTTACTCTTGGCTCATTGCGCGTACAATCCTTACTCTGCACACGCACACGCCGGCTATAGGTATGTATATATAGTCGTCGCGCAGCTCTGGGAAAAGATCTCGGCGCGAGAGAGGACCTTTTGTGCCGAGGCATAATTTGCAATCTCACGCGCGCGCGTGCACACGGCTTGTAAATAGAGATAGCGCCAAATAGCAATGGCTCGGAGTCTATGCTGGAATTCGAAAGGAACATAATACATGTATATATATACGCATATACATTGAAAACGTTTTAAAACGGCCGCAGATAAAGCGGCCAACTCTGACATTTTTACCTCATAATTCGCCCATTGAGCATAGAGTCGTTACGATATATATAGCTGTAGCCGCAGCATATATAGATACGTTCGGAACATTTTAATGTCAGCTCGATACATGCCTCGCATGTGTGTATGTAATGACTCGACGTACTCTGGCAGGCCACGTATATATATACACCGATACAAACGAGCTCACTGTGCGCACTACGTGCGGCTGCACTTTATTTATCGCTCCGGACGCCGAGGTGAAAGTTTAATGCGATATATCGCGCGCCGGGCAATATTATATGCATCGCGCGGCGCGCATACAACGCGAGAAGATGAGTGTCAAAGTGTCGGTGCGACATGATTACTCCAATTAGCTCGCCACTCGAAACATGCCCATTTGCATTTTATCCTTTCCATTAGGCCGATAAATTCGAGTGCTCGACTACACCGCGCGTTATGCGAACGTACGCCTGACGAATTAGATGTATAGCCGGCGGCGTTTTTAACGAGCTCAGGTGTGCGTGTCAAGTGGCGCAGCAAAATGTTTAAATACTAAATGTATATCGCTGCAAGAAGGTCAGCGCGATTACGTAGCTTATATATAGCTACTTTGGTAGGAGCCACTTAAAAGAATCGAGCGGATTATATTATACACATCCACGCGTGCCTATATGCATCTAACGGCTTAATGACGAGCTGCGTGCGGCTGCGGCGATTAATTTTCCTTTGCCGATCGCCTCGTCCCCCGCGCTCTCGAGCCGCGAATTTATTATTTATTACGTGCGAATGCAGTCTCGAGTCTACGTACGCGCGCGTGTAACAATGTACGGAAAGCTTCCCTCGCGCGCCTTCGTAAATCAACGAGCTCGCGCAGGTGACAATTGCCATGCTAGACGCATAACGCGCGACAACGCCCACGATTTCAGCCACGCGATTCTTATATTATAACGCGAGCTTTACAAGCCAAGACTTCCTGCTTCGGCTTCAATTGTATATTGTATAGCAGCCGTGGTGAACGAGCTGGCCCGCGCGAGACATGTCGCTGGATTGCAACTCGACTCGAGATAGCTCGCGAGCTCGTTCGGACGCCAAATTAATTCCATATTTTCTTCCTCTTTTTGTTTTGTATACGTCTCTGCCAATTACATTGCTAACAGTATATGATGTACGTTATGTGTGTGTGTGTCTCTTTGCGTGTATGGGCCAGTAGTGCGACGAGACAAAAGTGCTGAGCCACTCTTTTTTACGTAACCCCGCGTGCAAGTCTCGAGACAGTAGCTATTCTCCAGGCTGAGATCCGCGGCTATTATATGCAGTTGGAGCGCGGACGAGTCAGCCAACGGATCATAGACCCGCGTAACTTATATAGCCTACATCGTCCGCGGAAGGAGATGAGAAATCCTGCGTCGACCCTCGACGCTTAAACTCCGCAGTAGGCGAATACAGCTCACGAGGGGATGTAGGTGCTGCGCTGCTTTTTTTTTCCTCCGAAGCTGCAGCTCAGAGACACAGGCTGAAAAAAGGGGCTCGCGCACACGGACCTCGAATATAACCGTAAAGCACCATGGACGTAAGTAGAGCAGAGAACGATTTAAACGAATCAATCTATTTTTGCGGATTACTACTTCTTTTAATTTGCGGTCACGCTGAGAGCCGCTGCCGCAGAGTCGCGCTTGTAACTGCCTTCGCTCGAGACGTAATCCCGCGTATAATAAGCACGTATATGCACGCGACTATATATGACAGCGAATCAGATAAAGACAGCCGAGCACTGCTCCGCGTACACGTATATATACACTGCTCAAAAACAATATTATCTGATTGGCTTTGGATTATATTTGAAAGAAAAAGAAAGACGCAAAAATATTAATTCTACTGCATATATGTACGCTCGAGACGTGGAGCACGATCGGCCAATTGATAAATCACGGCTCTGTTTTACACGTGTTCCGCGTGTTATGCGTTTAGACGAGCCAGAAGTCTTCGATGCTGACATGGCAGGATTACCTAGTCATCGGAATCGTCATGTTGATTTCCGTCTGCATCGGCATCTACTATCGCTTCACCGGTGGACGTCAAAAAACCGCCGAGGTTCGTCATTTCTTTCCCTCTGTCTCTTTCTCTGTGACTCGTGCACAGTTTAACGAAAGAAAATGAGAGCTAACTTTATATCCTAGGAGTACTTCTCGGCGAACAAGTCGATGAGCATAGTGCCGCTGGGGATCGCCCTCATGGTGTCCTTCGTCTCGGCCATCACGATCCTCGGCATCGGCTCGGAGATCTACGCGCACGGGGTGCAGTTCGCCATCATCTACCTGGGTATCTCGGCAGCCACCGTCGTCGTCGCCTTCTTCTACCTGCCTGTCTTTTTCGAGCTCAATTGTATAAGCGTCTACGAGGTGAGTTGTCATAATATAAAAAAAAAATGAACCGTGTCACGATAGAAACGTCCTACACACACGCATGACCCGTAATTAACTCTTACTTCCTCGTACAATGTGTCAATGCGCGATGATATGGCGCACACGTTGTCGTACACGATTGCAGTACCTGGAAAGGAGATTCGGCGTAGCGGCCCGCTTGACCACGAGCATCGCCAACTTCATTCAGCTGACGCTCTACACCGGCATCGTCCTGTACGCCCCTTCGCTGGCCATCGAGGCGACCACCGGCCTATCCACGACGACCAGCATCAGTCTCATATCGATCATATGCATCTTCTACTCGACGATCGGGGGCATGAAGGCCGTCCTCGTGACCGACATCTTCCAGGCGATCCTCATGTTCGCCTCGCTCATAGCCATTTTGTGCGTGGCCTCGAGCGAGATCGAAGGAGGACTGGGCAACGTCTGGAGCATCGCTCAGCAGGCCAATCGTACCCAGTTGTTCGAGTAAGCTCGTAAAGTAGTAAAAGCTCCTTCCTCGAAAAGCTCTTATTCTGTTTTTTTGCGCTCTTTAATCGTGCAGCTTCCGACTTGATCCGACCATCCGACAGACCTGGTGGAGCTTGACATCAGCGGGCTTCTGCGTGTTCTGCTCGTTGTACGGTGTCAACCAAGTCGAGGTTCAGCGACTGCTCACCGTGAGATCGCTGAAAAAAGCTCGCCTCGCCCTCTTCGTCAATCTGCCCCTGCTCATCTCCTTCGCCATGATGACCATATTCTGCGGCATGACGCTCTTCGCCGTCTACAAGGACTGCGACCCGGTGGCGACCGGCGAGATAGCCTCGATCGACCGCATAATGCCGTACTTTGCCGCCACGAAGATGGCTGTCTATCCAGGATTGACGGGCCTCTTCATATCGGGGATCTTTAGCGCGAGCCTCAGCACGATATCGGCCATGCTCAACTCGCTGGCGGCCGTCTTTCTCGAGGACTATCTCAAGCGCATCTACCAGAAGTGCGGCAAGACCTTCCCGGTCGAGAGGACGACGCACTACGGCAAGATCCTGGCCGTGCTGAACGGCTGCAGCTGCGTCTCCGTGGCCTTTCTGGCCGAGAGCCTCGGCAGTCTGCTCCAGCTGACGATCTCGATCACGGGCTCGATAGCCGGTCCGGTTCTGGGTATCTTCACTCTGGGCATGTTCTTCGAGGAGGCCAACGAGTGGGGCGCCATCGCGGGCATCGTCACTGCCCTGGTCACGTGCATGTGGGCGAGCTTCGGCCAGCCCCGGCCACAGCACCATCGAGGCCCGGCATCGTACTCCTCCACGGCGTGCAGTAACTCCAACTCGAGCATCGCCTCGCAATTCGAGTGAGTATACATCTTGGTGTATGCCATAATAATGTAACTCACTTCCGTTTGGTCTCCGTCAACGCCTAGTCAAAGTAAATATTATCCCTCGCGAGGCTGCTTTTAATAGTCTCGTATCTCTATAGGCGGCACGACGGACACATTAACCTTGTGTTTTGACAGTGGCTCTAAATTTAGTCGCATTTGGCGTCGGGCGTCCGCGCGCGTGTGCAGGTGCAAAGCGACGAAACAAAAGTACAAAAGAAAGAAACGCAGTGTGCGACAGAGCGGCAGCGCACTGGGAGTTCTTTCAACTCGTTTATGGCGCTGCATGCGGCTTTTAATAGGTCAATTGCGCTGCACTTCCGCGTCGTGTGCACGGCTGTATAATAGAAATCAAACCGCAAGAAGCTCTGAATTACCATCCGATCGACGAGCGAGAGAGACAGGGAGAGAGAGCTTTGTCAAGCGGGACAGCATAATATAATCGTGAGTCGTCGACTCTATTGATGCTCGAGTGGCTTTGAAACAAAAAAACGAGAGAGAGAGAGAAAAACAGAGAGAGAGAGACGGACTCGCCGTTAAATGGGTGTGAAAAAAGAATAGCGCGGAAATCCGTGCGTACAGATACATAGGTGGCATTTATGTATGCATTATATGAATAGAAAATACCGCAGAGACCGTCGCGAGCGCATAATATAATATCGCATTCTATTCTGCACGCAGACAGTTGACAAGCACGACGGCGGCGGCGGCGGCGGTGAGCAGTCCTATCAGCTTGGAGGCGGACGACGACAGCTCGTACTTTTATCTGTACCGCATCTCGTTCCACTGGTACAGCCTCATGGGGCTCAGCATAACTTTGATAGTCGGCTACCTCGCCTCGCTGCTTATCGGCCGGATCTCGCCGAAGCGTCGAGTCGGAGGAGGAGAGGGACGCGAGCTCGACCCGAGCCTCTTCACGCCTCTCGTCGCCCGGAGAATACGTCGCAGACGCCAGGACGCGGCTCGCACCACCAGCAGCCAGATATTCACTCTGGAGGAGCCCGCGGAGGGCAGGTGGGGGCCGTGACTGGCGGCCAACGCGCCCGAGGACGCCGACGTCGACGCCGTCAGGATACCGCACACCGGCAATCTCATGCTGCTCGGCGACTTCTGGGGACACTATTACTCCGGCTCCGAGGACGCGACTGCCGCTGATTTCGCAGGCGATGCCGGCGGTGAATGACCGCGCCCAACTGCGCGACACATCGAACTCTGCCTGTGCGACGCTATCTATATACGTTATGGACTCTGAGAGTGCGCGAAAACTATGACTGTATATACAGTGCTATGTAATGCGAACGTGTGCAGTCAACGAGGACGAGTCGAAGCGATGTACTTCACTTGCGATTCGTTACATATACATATAATATATTCACGACGAACTAAATCTACCATATAGACCCATAGAATAGCATTATATTCAGTATTACGTGTGTGTTTTAACTTATGTAATTTACAGCTCACCGGCCTGTGTGTCGATTGGAAAGACGTCGTTTTTTATGACTCACCTGTAACAGAGAAGAGATAGACACGCGATTATTATACATGTGTATATATCTACGAGATAATATTATAAAAGTTAATCTCAATTATTGCCATGGAACAATCAACTATTACAGCCTGCATGAACTAATTGAAAATCATCAATCATCCTCGACTCCGCACCCATATACGCGCCGAGAATGATTCACTCGAGCTCTAATGTAATTCATTTTTCCCAAAGTATATACGTATACGTAACGATCGAGACAATCGAAACACGATTTTCGCTTCGAGTTATTGCCATGTAAAACACGTATAAGCAGGCCAGATCTCGGGCTTGCTGGGGGCACGATTTCACGCGCTCGCCGAGAGAGGAGGATGCATTTCACGCGTCTGTCTCCTCTAGTTCGATATGCGGAGCGAAATTCGCCGAGTCAGGCTGGTTTCGGATTTACACTCGGCTCTATACATATCGTAGGTACATACCCGCGTTGACACGGAGGTCCACCCCTCGCGCGCGAAACTAGATTCCGTAATCATATATCCTTCCGAGAGGAGTGTGTTTAGTTTCTCACCCTGTTCTTGTGTACACGAGCTGCTGCTACGTACGTCGTACGTACGTACACGGAGTTTAATTAATTGACGCGCTACGACGTGGCTATACATAGAACGTGTACATTTGCGCGCGTTTAGTCATACAATATCTTTTACCCTTCTTCGCACCGCATCGCGCGTGTAAATAAGTGTAATAAGTCGGGCATTTCATGCGGGGGCCAAGAAATTTCCGGTTGACCGAAAATTGCGGAGGCCTCTGCGTGCACTCAAATTGATTGATTACATCGAGGCGTCGTCGATGCGGCTCACTACTACTACTACTACTACACGAGCAATTTTCTGCAAGCGGCCCCTCTTTTTCTCTTTTACTTTCGTCAGCACGCATATGTTCTAATTTTCAACGAAAACACAACGACGACGACGATGCGCGCAAGTACGTTTTACAGCCCGGCTATTGCGCACGTGTATACCAGATGCTCGGAATGTGTTTGTTTACATTGAATATGGAGCGCGCGACTTTTATATTCCGATCAATTTGCGCGAAAAAAGCGAGGCTTCATCGAATCGACCTTATCAATCGCAAACCAGATGTTTTGACTCATTCGGCCGCGTCGTGCGTGGGTGCGGGTGCACACATAGTTGCTGTATATCGTAGGGAGAGGGTACGAGGGGTAAAAAATTGCACGCAATGAATCTCGCTTGGGAGTGTTTCTTCGCACGCGTGAACGTGTGTGTGTATACGCTTGGCGTCGGCGTCAGCTTCGGCCTCGCTCTCATTCGGCTAAAAGCTCTCGGCTCGATTCAATATCGATAATAGTCGATATGTACGTGGAAAACGCTTATATTTCAAGGGAAAATCCAGATACGTAGGCCAGTGAATCGCTAATGTCATCATCGTCCTGATCCGTTGATTAAAATACACTCGCAGTTACACCCGCGTACGTGTAGCAGTCACACGTATGTATCTCGCATGTATATAAACGACTCACATACGGGATCGAGCCTTGGAATACAATGAAGGGATCAAGCGGCAACAATGAAGCGAGCGGGCGGACGCGTGCAGTAACAGCAGCAGCAGAAGCAGCAGCAGAGAGAGATGTGCAAACGGATACAGCGAGAGAGAAAGAGGAAAGAAACATCTCATGAATGGTACGTTGACCATTACTGATTCTGCAAGTACCCATATGTATATGCACATTCTTGCGGGCGAGCTGCCACTGCCATGCTGCATAAGGCGCTGCTGCTTCGAGGAGGTACGATCCTTCAGAGACAATACTTTTTTTTTCTTGCTCTACCGTATCGAATAATCCAATGCACGAGCTTGGCCAACTTCCTCTTTGCTGATCGATTTTTCTTTTTCCTTTTTTCAACTGTATCGGGAAAATTTTGTCGAGCAAGCGCATCTCCTCTCTCTCTCTCTCTCTCTCGTGCACGGGACAGCTGACTAATGCAAAAAACAACAAGAGGCGCTGCAACGATGTATGCATCGATTCTCGTGACAATGATGATGTGTAATCGCTGACAAATCTACAAACATCGAGGATATTTTTCCTTTGTCCGTGACTCTTTCGTAAAATAATATCGTCTTCTCTTTCTCTCTCGGTTCAAAAGTGCTGACTTTCGAATTTTCGCCACGCGTGTCAAAGTAATTGTGGCGCACGTCTCTCTCTCTCTCGTGGCGCGTTGAAAAATGCCGACGATGAGTGACGAGGGGGTGACCAGATGCGCCTGTCACAACAGCTGCCCTTGGCCCTATATAATATAAGAGTGTGTATTTACAAAAGTACACACGATGCACGAACGATTCCGGTAAATCAGGTACAGCTTGTTTGTACAGTATGGGAAGACGATGTTAATGCACGTACCGTACCCCCGTTAACATGTGTTGGCCATTTGCAAATAAGAGCATTTATTTGTGTGGATTCGAAAGTGCCATTTGCGAACTCGAGCCAAAGGGTTGATATGATCGGGAACAAATTAGTCGGAAGTGTGCAGATTATTAATTCGAACGGAAGTACACGGGTATCTCGAATTCGAGTTGGAACGTGACTACAATGTAAAATCGGTGGGTAGCGCCGCATAAGCATATAATATACAACTTCTCGAATGCGAAATCCCCGCAGAGCCGAGTAAGCGGAAAATTCAATGCTCGTTGAGTTTCATCACGCGTGTTCGTTTCTCGTTTGTTATGATAACTCTGCCGATTGTGCAAATTTCAGCAAAGTTTATATACGTATGTAATGTGCTGTACAGCGCATACAACACCTCGGCCTGACGCTCACGCAATTCGTTTCAAAACGTCTCGATCGTTTGTAATATAATGCTTGGCTAAACGAAACAACAACAAAAACAATTGACAAATACACGTATGGCGATCTCGAGTAGCCGCGATTCCCGTGTTAAATACAAAGAAGCCTCTGCTCGACACGCGGATCGCTCTCGAGAGAAGAAGGAGCGAAGCAGAACTTGGCCGAAGCTTTACCGAAGCTCCGGCCGTAACCACACCGAAATTATTTCCCCTCCCCCCCCGACAGGACAGAAAAAAACGTAAACGTTTCGCGCTCGGTATTTTTGCGGTTGGTGATTTTCAGTTAAACGATGTACACCGTGTACGCGACGGCTCCCAAGAGGTACGTTGACACGGCGCGTCATTCTTGGCCGAGCCGCAGACTCGAATATGCAGCTGCTGCTGCTGCCGCTCACGAGATCGGCCGATGGCTACTCCACCCATCGATAGGATCTCTTATCATCAATTACAAAAAGGGGAATTATCCCGAAGCAAAAATCATAGATCACGCGGTATTGTTCGAGAGGAGCCATGGAGCTGCTGCACAGCTTCAAAGAGCGAGAGAGAGAGAAAGAGAGAGAGAGTTAATTCAATGATTTTATTACAGTCCAAGCTCGGGCGACAAACGAGAAATGTTCTCTTATTATTTATACCGGACTCTGTGTGTGTGTGTGTATGGCATTATAAGAAAAGAGATGAGTATCAGGGTTTTACTACCCATGGAGAAAAGTATATTTAACGGGCCGGCTATAATATGTGCTACACGCTGCAGCATATATAACACATAAGCAACGTTGAAGCTTTGAAAATACACTTTATGCTATCTGCTCTTTGCTCGCGCCTCGAGTCCTTTTTTTTCTCTTTCCTCGTCTTCCTCCTTTTTCTTTCCTCTTTATAGTAGCTCGCGTATAAGCAGTGGTTGGCTTGTAAAAACCACAAAATACCAGCAGCTTGCTGCGTATTAAATGTACACGCGTTCGCAAGGTGCTGCTCTCTCTCTCTCTCTCTGCAGCCCCATAATATACATGACTGTGGCTCGATCTGCAGCTTTATGGGAACGTACGCACACGCGGATGTGCTGCAGTTCGAGTCTTTTGTCGAGGTGTAAATGTTTCCGTTTTTCTCTTTCTCTTTTTATTTTTCTCGCGTGTATGCTCGCACGTGCCTCCATACCCATTATAAAGTTGCACAAAAGAAAGGACAATTATCATGAGCTTTCAATAATGCCTTATTGCGGCTTGGGCGCATCATTTAGATAATGCATTTTCCGCCGTGTAAACAGAGCGAGAGAGAGAGGAAAAAAATTTTTTCGATAACAAGCCGCGATTAGCTCGTCAAGCAATTTAGATGCCTCGGGAGCTGCTGGCTCTTCCTCGCCCATGCTATGTAGTTCGGTACCATGTGCGCGTGTAGTTTATCGATCCGATCGCCGTTCACATACGCTACCGATAGATCGCGATCAGCTGATTTATATATATATTTTCCTTCTGCGGCTGCTGTTGCTGCTGCTGCTGCTGCTGCTCTGGACTCTGCTCTTGCTCGTTTTCTCGACCCCTCCACCCGCTCGTGGCGCACGAAGATAAGATGGCCAAGGATATCGCCCAGCAGCGTGCCTTGTATTTTTACATCGTTTCTTCCATTTTACCCTTTTTTCCGGGAAGCAGTCTCGGCAGACGAGGTGGAGGCGGCCTGTAACGTCCTTATAAGCACTGTGTTTACAGATTGAGACTTTTTGCCGAGATCGCGAGAGAGAGCCTGGAAAATTATCCTGTCCGTTTCGCTCCGATTGAGACATTAATACACTTTTACACGTTCGAGATCTTCGCCGAGATATATATTGACCGTGGCTGCAATGCACGCGGCTATTTCGCCCAGTGAGAACAATGAAAAACCCGTCGCTTTTTTCACGACATTAATAGCATCGCACTCGCGCGTACTTACTCGCGAGAGACAGAGAGCTGCGAATGTAATTTTATATAGAGAAGAAAAGAGAAAGAGAGAAACGATATAACGAGGTAGAAAATATAGTATCTCGACGCCATTACCTCCGTCCGCGGTGATTCACAGACGATTCGTGTATATTATAATAACAACACAGAAACGCGCGATTATACGATTATGATCACACCAATGTGCATTATGATTGCGTGCAGTACACGAGTTAGTTGAAGAACCAAGGGGTCTACAGTGGCCTTTGTATTCTTCACGGATCAACCCAAGTTTTTCTAA